CGGGTCGCTCATTGTTGCCTCGCTTGGTCCCGGGGCCTCGCGTTCTGCGGCGCCCTGGCCGGAGGGCCCCTCCCCCTCGCTATTGCTGATCGGGTGTGGCCGAGCTGCTTTTAAATTACGACCTATGTCAACTTTTTTTGTTAACTGGGAAAGTTATTGGGTAGAAGAAATCGCTGAAAATAATTAAAAATCTAAGAAAGGGTTCACTGAATGAATACAGAAATATTTTTTGGTCTCGAAGGGTAAAATAATTTCGGGACCCAACTCTGAAAAAGGTTTTTTGCTTTTTGTTGTTTTTTTTTTTTTTTTTAATTTACAAGGTATACAGTGGGTAGAGCCCCTGTGAATCTCCCATCATCTTAAATATTCTCTGAGGGCTATGACTAGACAAGGAATGAGGAGATGTCCTACAGTCTCATTTCTAAGGGAACAAAAATGACCTATCAAGAGAAAGAAGAAAAAGCGTTTAAAACTTCAAAAAGCTCATTTTCAATTTTAAAGTTACCGTTTAAGGTCACAGATTGTGACAGGAGCATTACACGGAGGTAGCTCAGGAAAGAAGAATAAAACGTTGCTAAGCAATCTGATTGGTTCTGAAGTTTAATATTTTTTTCTGCTATTTGCTTTGAAATGCATAACTACTGCTGGGAGGGGGGGTGGCACAGTAGAACCCCCCAAGTCAGGAACCTATTGGATCGATACACTGTGTCGATGTTCAGATGATTTGGAATAACTATGTTGTATAAAATGTGTGCCCAAAATTGTTTCCGTTTTGCAAGTGTGCCCCCTACCTGACTTAGTTACACTTAATACTCTGCCTTTTTTGTAGTGGTTGTTGATGGCTTTAATCCTTCAATTTTAGCAATTTATCACGAAAGTTAATGTTACAGTGCGCTGATAACACGGATATGGTCACTTTGGGAGATTTGACCAAGCTGTACAATTATGATTTGTGCTTTTGGTATGCCTGTTATAATTCCATAAATTTAAATAGTAAACACCAATAATGAGAAGAATGAAAGATAATAAAATGATAGTTTAAAAAATATATTGAAATTGAGTTTTATTTATTAATCTACTCTGCAGTTTTAAAGATTTCAAATCTAGACTATTTTCTTGTTATACCCAAGAGTTGGAAATAATTGCATTTTATTCTTGTTCTTTTATTGTTGTCTTTAAACAGAAAAAGGATTAGGCCAACTGAATATTCTGGATATTAAAATCTCAGAAGATTCTAAAAAACATCTTTTGGGTAAAACATAAGAATTTAGAATTTCTATCATTTTTCTATATCTTTCAAAATGTAACAATGCATTCTAAAATTACTGTTTTACTTTCTCAACATAGTGTTTTATTTTCCCAGAACTGCATATAGTAAAATTTAAACAACTATGAAAAATATATTCTGTATAATAGACTAGGTTTTGCAGTTTATATTTTCAGATATATTCAGAGAGTCTCCATTTTCAGTACTATGATAAAATAATCCTGTGCCTATATTCTTAACCAGCTTT